TTCCCTTCACTCGATTATGGCAATTCTCTGCTATAATTTGCTCCAATATACCTTCTGCCCTGCTCTCTTTTTCTTCTTCTTCTGGGATCCCAACTATTCTAATATTGTTTTGTCTTATGGTATCACTTATTTCTCGAATTCTCCCCTCCTGGTCCAGTAGTTGTTTATCTCTCTTTTTCTCAGCTTCTTTATTCTCCATCTTTGGTCTTCTATATCCCTAATTCTCTCTTCTGCCTCATTTATCCTTGCAATAAGAGCCTCCATTTTTTATTGCATCTCATTAATAGCTTTTTCGATTTCAACTTGGCTAGATTTTAGTTCTTTTATTTCTGCAGAAAGGGATTTTATTTCTCCAGAAAGGGATTCTCTGGTATCTTCCATGCTTTTTTCGGGTCCAGCTAGAACCTTGATAATTGTCATTCTAATCTGTAGTTCTGACATCTTACTAATGTCCGTATTGATTAGGTCCCTAGCCATCAGTACTGCTTCTTGTTCTTTTTTCTGAAGTGAGTTTTTCCACCTTGTTATTTTATGCAGATAAGAATAGGTGAATGAGAGAACAAAATACTAAAAGGGTAACAATGATCCTAGAAAAAGATACAGTAGTCATTTTGGAAGAGACCAGAAACTAGGGAGAGAAGAAAGGAGGATTAAAAAAGACTGGTGAATAGAACAGAGCCACACACCTAATACTGGGTGGATTTTGGTCTGTTAGAAGAAATTGTCTCCCATAATCTTTCAGAAAGAAAATCTCATATATATATGTGTGTGTGTGTGTGTGTGTGTGTGTGTGTATACACACACAAAAATAATGGTAAACATGATGAAGGGATGGAATATGATGGTGGAGATGAAATTTAAAAGGAGTTTTTAAAAAAAAAGATTTTATTTATTTATTTGACAGACAGAGATCACAAGTAGGCAGAGAGGCAGGCAGAGAGAGAGAGAGGGCGAAGCAGGCTCCCTGCTGAGTAGAGAGCCCAATGCGGGGCTTGATCCCTGGACCCTGAGATCATGACCTGAGCTGAAGGCAGATGCTCAACCCATTGAGCCACCCAGGCACCCCTAAAAGGAGTTTAAGAAAGGAAATGATAAGTTAAAAAGTTGGTTGGAAAAAAAAAAAAAAAGAGGAAAGAATGTGGTCAAGCTGGAGACTAGAACAAAACCATGCACTAGATTTAGGTATATTTTGATCTGTTAGAAGAAACTGTATCCCAAAATTTTAAAGGAAGAAAAACCAGTATGTACGCAGAAAATAAAATTAAGTACAATGAAGGGATAGAATATGAGTATAACAATTAAAATTTAAAAAATTTTTAAAATGGTTTTGATAAGGTAAAATAGTTAAAAAAGATTAAAATAGAAAAGAGGAAAAATTAAAAACATAGAATTAGAAAAAAATAAAATTAAAAAAATTTAACTTTGAAAGACTAAATAATCATGGGAAAAAAGCCATGAGTTCTATGTATTCCATTCTCCTAGCTCTGGAGTTCCACAGTTCTCACTGATCAGTGAACTTGGTCTTGCCTGGGTGTTCTTGCTAATCTTCTGGAGGCAAGGCCCATTGCCGTGATTCCAAATGTCTTTGCCTGGGGCAGACTTGCACTGACCTTGCTGGGGACTGGGCTAAGTAATATGCTCTGGTTTGCTCTCATAGCTTTTGTTCCCTGAACGCTTTCCATAGAGCTTTGGAGGATGGAAATGAAAATGGCAGCCTCCCAATCTCTGACCTGGAATAGCTGAGAGCCTGTGGCCCCACTCCTTAGTGCATCCTCAGAGAAAAGCTATCAGTCCCTCCTGTCTTCCTATCTCCGGCCATGCTCCAAGCTCACCCAGCCTGTGACCAAACATTTCTATCTCTAGCGCATGGCTCTGTTGGGAGTCTCCAAACCCAGCAGATTCCTGCCATGTGTTCCCCCTGCCACTCTTCCCGGGGGAGGAAGGAGAGAGTCTCTCCAGATATGCTACTTATGGGGTCCCTGCTCGAAAAGCAGTGGTCCGACTGTGCCTTGGATCACGGTTTAAGGTATCCCTGAGCTGAGAGCCCACTCCTTATCTCTCTCTCTGCCTCGATCTTCCCTGCTCTGATACCTGGAATCTCTGCTGCACTCAGACACCCCTGGTCTTTCTGTGACCCTGCAGGTCCTGAGACCACACTGTCCCTGTGAGGGGTCCACCCCTCACTTAGCCTCTGGAGTGACGTCCCTTAGTGGAGCACACTTCTAAAAGTTCCAATTTTGTGCTCCATTGCTCTCCCACTTGCCAGGAGCTGGCCCCTCCCCCTGCATACTCTCTTTCTGTGTATCACTTTGGATTCACTTCTCTGCATGTCCTGCCTTCCAGAATGTGGTCTTTTTTTCTGTTTCTAGAATTGCTGCTCTTCTTCTATTCAAGCTCCTGTTGAGTTTGTAAGTGTTCAGAATGGTTTAATAATATCTAGCTTAACTCCTGGGACCATATGAAATTTAGGTCTCCTACTCCTGTGCTGTCTTGCTCCCCCGCCCACATAGCTTTTTAAGTTTCCTATAGTGAGTGTGTCTTTTGTTGTTGTTGTTTTTAGATTTTATTTATTTGATAGAGAGTGTGCAGAAGCAGAGGGAGATGGAGAAGCGTCTGCAGGAAACTTAATGTGGGGCTTGATCCCAGGATCCTGGGCTCATGACCTGAGCTGAAGGCAGATGATTGACTGATTCAGCCACCCAGGCATCCTATAGTGTGCATGTCTTAATTTGATAGTAAAAAAAAAAAAAAAAAGATTTAAAATGACTGCCATTTATTTAAGAGGCTCTTATGGACATTTAGAAGTTCTTTTTCTGCATACTTTTTATTATGGCTGCTCTTTTTATCTACAGAGTTCTCATAGCTCAAAGCTCAAAAGAGTAACTAAAGATACCTCCATACATTTGTCCTTTTTTGGCTGCTATAACAAATACCACTTCTGGGTGGCTTAAAAAACAGAAGTGCATTTTCTCACAGTTCTGGAGGTTGGAAGTCCCAGATCAGGGTGAGAGCGAGTTTGGGTTCTGGTGAGAGCTCTTTTCCTGGCTTGCAGATTGCCACCTCCTTGCTGTGACATCACGTGGTCAAGAGCAAGAGAGAATAGTCTAGTGTCTCTTCTTATGAGGGCTTCATCCTCATGACCCCATGTAACCCTGATCACTCCTAAAAGCCTCATCTCCAAATACCATCTCATCTCCATCACATTAGGGGTTAGAGCTTCAACATAGGAATTTTAGAGGCATATAGACATTTAGTCTGGATACTCTTTTCACTCAAACTGGCAGTATACAGGATTTCTAGAAATTGCTCCTAGAATAGAAAAAGACTGGCAGGCTGTACATAAAACATGAGTGATGTTTATATCTTGATGGTAGGATTAGAGGGGATTTTCTCCATTTTTTTAGGAATTTAAGATGCATTCCTTTTATACCTGGAAAAAATAACAATAAATATTATTTTTAAAGAAAAATGAAGTACTAGAGACTATAACCTTCTATAGTAATCTTGCAGATTTTAGAATTTTTTATTTCATCTTTTTGGGGTTTCCTCAGAATTAATGAAAACGTCTTCAATACTTGGAGCATTTGAATGTTCACATGTAATGACACTCAATAAGAAATTGTTTCTCCTCATTTTCCTCCATTTAATGATGATGACAATGTTAAATTGTAATATTAATGATGATTATATTGCCCTGTGAACCATGCCATCAAATAGAGTGTAGAATATAGGAAAGATATGCCATAGAATATAGGAAATTAAAATAGAACATATCCACAAAATTAGGACAGATGTATTTGTTAGAAAGTTTTTCCTCTGAGTTAGTTATAAATGGAATAGGCCATTCATTGTCTTTAGTTTTGGAACTCTTTATTTAGTCTTGTAGATTTAAAAAAAAAAAGATTTTATTTATTTATTTGACAGAGAGAGAATAGTCTTTTAGATTCTTGATAATGAATTGGTTTAAAAAAATGAGTTAGTAGTTTGTTTTTAGTTAACATTCAATTACAAATGTAGTATCAGCTCTTTGGATTTTTATAATAAAAGGGCAGGTATATGGTGTCAGGGAGCAAACTTACATTCAAACTTTCATTGTTTTAGTTCAAAGACTGGTTGGAGTTTAACATCTCAGGTTAGGGATAGGTTTTCTCCCCTATAAGAGCTCTCTCTTCTCTTCTTTTCAATGCATCATTTCTGTCTGTGCTCTATCTTGTGTGTAACGTCTGTCATTTCCTTAAAAAAATTCTCTATGATTGTTTTTTTTTCCCCTCTCAATCCCACATTTGAGTGTAATATTTCTAGTTTTTTCAGCTCTGTAAGTCAAGTGGATTAGAAATGCCCTGCAAGGTAGAAATGTTTTTTTGTCACGAAGGGACTGCTTGCAAAATAAATCATGACATTGTGATATATTATTTTCAGTTGCTATAAGTTTTCAATACTTAGCATATCAGTCATACTAAATCAGGATTCAGTTATTTAATTTCATTGATGTCTGTATTCTTGATGAGACTCCTTTTCCTCAGTAGATTTTAATTTCCTTGTCTCTTAGAGTCCAATTCCAAGTGTGCCTTATAAAACCAGGCACAGAGTATAGATACGAACAAAGTTTTTTTGTTTACAAGTAGACTAGAAATTGTATGCTGGCAAACTATATCTGAAATTACAAATTTGTCCACCTAAGTGGTGTTTTTTAACACTTTTGATCGCTTTTGTCACTGTTCCTTTAGTAATTTGATTTCCAGATATTAGATAAAAATATCTAAGCAACTCTCCATGTTGTATTGTCACTTGATCTTTATTGGGATCTTAAAAAAATAATCTCACAAACGATCCTCAGAAGTTAAAAATATAAATTGTTCTGAATTTAGGGTTATGCCTATACCATAATTAATGTATTACTACCCCAAAAAACTTTCTGGAATTCCGTTTTGATGATACTGAAAAAACAATTTTCTTTCTTTTTTTTTTACATTTTCTTTTTTTTTTTTTTTGAACAACAGGACACAAAAATCGCTTCATTGGAGCGAAACATAAGGGATCTTGAGGATGAGATCCAGATGTTAAAAGCCAACGGTGTGCTGAACACTGAGGACCGTGAAGAAGAGATCAAACAAATAGAGGTTTACAAAAGTCACTCCAAGTTCATGAAAACCAAGGTATGGTCCAAAGTTATAAACTTTTATACTCTTAATGTGACTGAAAATCTATGATTTACATACATACTTTCTCCAAATACCCACATAACCTGTTTTATATGATATCATCTAATATATGGACAGTAAAGAAGAACACAGAAGATTTTTTGTTCAGAAGCATAGATTCCAATATGAGATCAGGGAACATCTTTGTCAAATTTCTACTTACCAAGGTGTTCAAGATTTTCTAATGAGTAAGTTTGGTATCTTGGGAGTTAACATTTATTTTTAATAGTCTTCTCTTCCGAATTTCCTAAGTTTTCATAAGTTTGCTATTTTGCGAAGTTTGTATCATTGCCAAATTTTGGCCCATCCCTAAGAAGATAACTGTCTCCAAAGGTATTGATCTTGGAAGTCAATGTAACTGATTTCAATGGTATGAAGACAGTTTGGTTTTAGTATAGTGCTTAAGGTAGAACTGCCTTTGCATTCTAATACTACTGTTTGCTTAAATTATTCAACTTCTTTAAGCCTTAGTTTTATCATCCATGAAATAGGCATAGGATATAGGAAAGTACATTTATCATTGGGTTGGTTTGACAATTCCAAGAGATGATGCATTTAAAGCACTTAGCCCCTGACTAATCCCTAGAAAGCATTCAATAAATGTCAGGCATTGTTATTGATAATGTTATTATTATTTTTATATTATTATTATTTTTAAAGATTTTATTTATTCATTTGAAAGTAGATGGAGAGAAAGGAGAGGGAAAAACAGAGTGAGAGGGAGAAGCAGACACCCTGCCGAACAGGCAGCCTGATGAAGGGCTCGTTCCTAGGACCTGAGATCACAACCTGAGCCAAAGGCAGATTCTTAACCAACTGAACCATCCAGGCACCCTCATAGTGTCATTATTATTGGTATCTGTTGCTGTGGAATATTTATACAACATAATTATTGTAACCTATTCCTTTAATTTATATTGGTATCGCCAGTTTTAAAGAATTTAGTTTGTTACTTTCAAAATTAAACAAACTTTGGGCTACAAATGAACTGAACACCTAAATATCTATTATTTTGATACATGCATAGTTACTAAATTTTTGAATAGCCCCAAGTAGTTCTTTTGAGACTTTGAAAAGCTTTTATTTATCCCTGGATTGAAATTATTTTGCTTTTGAAATACTAATCACACCAATTAAAATTCTTTTTTCTTTTTTCTACCATGTACTCTTAAACACCCTGTTCTTGTTCCAAGTTTTACTTTTGTTTATTGCCTTATAAAATGCAGAAGAGGTGAGAGTTCTATGAGGAACCAGTAGAAGTGGAGAGAGGAAATATTGAAATGATGGTATGATTTTTATCATTGTGAAATACATGCATACTCATTGCAGAGAATTTACAAATTACAGAGAAGAAATAATACATAACATCTACTTCACCATGTCTGTGTGTGCGTGTATGTGCATTTCTCTAGAGGAAAAACAAAAATTTTGCTTTCTTTTGCCAACTTTACATTTGTAAATTGATGTTGAGATGATGACAAAAAGTTTAGATGAAGGAGTAGAGTGAGATCTCAGTAGAATGTCCAGTGGATTTGAATGTAACTTCTTCCTTTCAAGGAGTTCCACAAAAGGCAAAGTGGGCTTCCCTGTTCAGCCCTCTCTTCCAATTTCTTTTTTGCAGTCCTTCCCTCTCAGAAAGTTGACCTGAGGTGTAGCAAGCCCAGTAGTAGGGTGGCCTGTTGACCAAACAATGACCATTCATTCTGGGATTAGGCTATGAAGATAAGTGTGAACTCATAACGTTTGGGCAGAATTATTGTTTTGGCTTAAACTTTTCCTCTCTGTCCTGTCATTCAACAGTGGGAGATAGTTCTTTTACAGCTAAAAATACCATGAAATTTATTTAGGTAAATAAAACATTCAGCAAGTAGGCCTTTATTAGCTGACAGGTGTCTGAGAGACCATTGGTCTTTGAGTTCGTTTTAAGTTTTAATGTTTGGTTACTTTTTAGAGTTCCAAAAGTTGTCAGGTCAGAAGGATGTTTGAGGAGAGAAATGGAGTAAGATGGAAAGAGTATAGGCTAACACATAAAGAGGACTCTGGCCAATCTCTAGCCTGTCATTGCTAGTTGCATGGTTTTGAGGAGTAACTTATATCACTCAGCCACTTTGTTCTTCTATAAAATGGGGCAGCATGACAAACCTTAGTGGGAAACTCACAGGCTTAAATGAAATAATGTAATTAAAATGCTTGGTTCAAAAAAGTAGCTAATAATTATCCCCATTATTATTAAAGAAGTATAACCAAATAATAATAATAATAATAATAATAATAATAAATGTTGTATTTGACTTGACTAATGGGGAAAATTGATTTCTAAGAATACAAATAAAAATAAGATTTTGTGGGGCACCTGAGCTCAGTGGGTTAAGCCTCTGTCTTTGGCTCAGGTCATGATCTCAGGGTCCTGGGATCCAGCCCCGCATTGGGCTCTTTGCTCAGCAGGGAGCTTGCTTCCCACTCTCTCTCTCTGCCTGCCTCTCTGCCTACTTGTGATCTCTCTCTCTCTCTCTGTCAAGTAAATAAAATACTTAAAAAAAAAAATAAGATTTTGTAAGGCCAGGCTGATAAAAGATAGCAAAAAGTATTAGTCAGAATTAATTTTTTATATCTTCTCCATTGAAAGAATGTTCTTATTGGATTAACTCTTAAAATTCATTGTTTATACTTTCTATCATTACTTCACTTGCTTATTTTTCTTATTTCTGCTTTGAGAGGGGAGCATGGATATGGTTGAGCCAGTCTATGAAGACATAGCTACTTAAAAAAAATAAAAACAAAACAAAAAACATAGCTACTGCTAAACATTTAGTCCTGAGTGCTTGTGTTTTGTGATTTGTGGGATCCTGGAGGCTGTGTGAACTGATTCCAGTCAGGTGAATCACTTGTCATGGAATTTATTAAATTTTAGAGGCATGGATTGATGTCCTCTAAAATTAGATTATTAACATAGTTTATGGTCTGTTGCGACCTATCTGGATAACTTTTTTAAAAAAAGATTTTATTTATTTGACACAGAGAGAGAGAGAACAAGAAGGGGGAGCAGCAGGCAGAGGGAGAAGCAGGCTCCCTGGTGAGCAGGGTCCCTGGTGCATGGCTCAATCCCAGGACCCTGGATCCTGACCTGAGCCAAAAGCAGACACATAACCAACTGAGCCACCCAGGATAAGTTTTCTAAAAGATTTATATGAATATGTTGCTTGTCAACATCATCACAGATAACTGAAGGGTTAATTTTTGCAATAGTTGGTTGTACACACTGACAAAATAATTGTTTAGCGTCATCATTACAGTCTTTGAACTCTTTCATTTGCACAGAATTGTATGGATAAAGCTTTTAATGGTGGATTTTTGAGCTCTGTGGTTCCCAAAGACTTACTAAGCCTTGTTTTTAGCACATGACATTGAGCTAGCTACTGAAGGGCTCTAAAAGTAGTGCATATTCAAAATGTTTCTCACTTCAAAGCCAATACTGACCACTTAATTGGGAAAGTAAGAAATGTCCTGGACAAACTACCCTGAAGATTTGATGAGAGGAGAGTTTACTTCTGGTTGGAATAATAATACAAGTAGTTTAAGTTTGCTTAGTGTTTTTTTATTTTGTTTTGTTTTTTTGTTTATTTGTTTGTTGTCGTTGTTGTGGTTTTTTTGGCCTAAATAACCAGATTGGCAAAATAGCAATGACAGGTCTGGTGAGGAATGCAAACTCAAATCAGTGACTGAGCAAACCAAGAAGGGTAAGTAAAAATTCTGTCCCACCCTAACCCCACACAGAAGAGGAAGTGGGAAGAACTCTATTCAATTGAAATGGCAGGTTTTCCAAAAAAGGAAGGAAATGTTAGATTTCAGCTGCAAACACCTAGAGGCTCTGAAGCTTATCTGGGGGAAATAGAAATGTAATTGTGAAACTCAAGGGTTTAGTGAGGCAGTGATAGAAATGGAAATTGGAAAGGGACTTTGGATCTGGACTAGCAAAAAAAATGCAGGCATAGTTGACTTTAGAAATTGTTACAGTTTATAGAGACTCAGAGTCCTGGTAGAACATGTCAGAAATTCTTCTGAGATGCTGCCTACGGAGGGGAGTGGAACTCTAGGAACCAAATCTGAAATTACAGCGAAATATTGTTACTTCTTCTTGCTGTTTGTAATGAATATGTAGAAAGCTTTTAAAAGAGCCCGGAGAACTTCTTTTTTACTTGGTGTTTTGGAGAGGTGCCTTCAGAGTGATAACTGTTTGCAAAGGCAGCAGCCTTGGAGGTGGTCTTCCATGTGAGTATTTCTCAATAGAGATCTAAAATGAATTCTATCATGGTTCTAAATAAAAATAAAAAAAAAACAAGGTAAAAAAATTCAACCTGATCATGAAAAAAGCTCCTAAAATTGGATAAACACATATTTACATTCTCATTTGACTTTTTTTTTTAATTTTAGTCAAAAATTGTTTTTATAACCCGTTGACTGATAAAATTGACTCAAAATTTGATTGTTCTTCATTGACAGGGCATGACCTCAAATCAATCTCAATAAAAAATTATTCCAAGTAGGTAATAAAGGTAGCTAATAATAATTCTTATATGCGAACTCATTTCTAGATTTAAAAGTATGTTGAAATAGATAATTTTAAATGTTTCAATGAAAATTTAAAATAGAAACAGTGTTGTGAAATGTAAAGGGAGTGCTGCTTGCATTAGTTATTAAAATGAGTAAAGCATGTAGGTTTGGAGGGAAAGGAAGTGTTTTAAATGGCCCTGTGAACACATAGACCAGTGGAACAGAGTAGAGAGCCCAGATATGGACCCTCAACATTATGGTCGAATAATCTTCGACAAAACAGGAAAAAATATACGGTGGAAAAAAGACAGTCTCTTCAATAAATGGTGCTGGGAAAACTGGACAGCTATATGTAGAAGAATGAAACTCGACCATTCTCTTATACCGTACACAAAGATAAACTC